GAAAAAGAAAAAAAAAAGGAAAAAAAAAAGGAAATCTCGAAAAAAGAATAATAAATCTTTAATATCATTTTAAAACTGTTTTTCATCCTGTACTTCCTAGTTTGCAACAGTTGAAGCGAATTAATATCTAACTATACTTTTACTCGTTCACATAGTTCATCGAATTATATCGAACGAGGAGTGTACTTCTTATGCGCGTAATAAGAACATAAGGGAAAAGTTTGTCTTGTCCTTCGTGATTATAACTTTCAGACAGGAGTAAAAAGTTTTAAATCAAGCTCGACCCCAAGGGAGAAAGAAAAAAAGAGAAACAGACAGACAGACAGACAGACGGACATACAGACAGACAGACAGACAGATAGACAGACAGACAGACAGACAGACAGACAGAGAAAGAGAGAGAGTTCGTAAACTTTTTCGTTTGCCCATAATCTTTTCTTACGCTTTCTCTCCTCAACAGTATTATGTATAACTCGACGGTTAACTTAGAGTCAATTGTCTGCTAACTAGATAAAGCATATACAATTTTTCTAAATAGGACATACTCTACGAAATATATAACCACTAATCGATATATTAATCATTATTTATAATTAAATCGTCTATATAGGATAGATCAAAAGTTTTCTATTAAATATAAATTGTTCCTTTTCCTGACCTTTCTTTTTCTTTTTTTAGATCTTTCAATTTTTTACATCGAGATATTACCAGGCTAAAATGTAGGCACGATGAAAAGAGGGATGATTTATTTTTGTAAATCAGTTAAGAAAACTTTCGTTCTAGCGCTATATATTCTATCAAAAATTTACGAACGTGATTCTTTTTGTTTTGTTTTATTTTTATTTTTGGTCCTCTTTAAATATTCCCCTCCCCTTCCCCTCCCCCCTCTCTTTGCCTATATGTCTTTTAGAGCCATGTTAGAATATAACTTCTACTCGTAATTCAACACCGAATATTGACTGGTAATTATCTACGAGGAACGGTAGAGTCAGCTAATGTATACTTCCAATGATAACAAGAGTTCGCATTACTCGCTGGGCACAATGATCGCAAACAAGCAAGCAAGCAAGCAAGCAAGCAAGCAAGCAACGTAGTACCAGTCAGTCAGTCAGTCTGGACTGACATTTTATCGCGTTATATTCCTCTTTGCTCTTCTTCTTTCATCTACTTTCCCCCTCCCCTCTACGTTAGAATTTTATTTATGTACATATAATAACTATTAATCATATATGTACATAAACAGATATATATATATATATATATTTTTTTTAATATTATTGGTTTTATTATACGTTATATAATATAGGTGTATAATATAAAAAGGCTAAGTAAGCACTTGTTTCTATAAGAAGATAGATAGCCGTGGTGACTAACTTTTTTTTTTTTATAATGGATTGCAGATATATATGTATATATATATTTCTTGTTTATATAGGTTCGAATCTCCATCGATATTTTTCTCGATTGAACCGCGGACCTTCTTTTCTCTTGTATCGGATATAAAAAAGAAAAAAAAAGGAAACAATTTGAATTATTCTCTACTTCTGAAGATTTAAAGATTCTCTCTCCCTCCCACGCATCGGGGGGTCATTGGCTTTGCATGCAAATTTCGTATGTTCAAGGAGACAAACACACACACACACACACACACACATATATATATATATACACCCACACACATATATAAAAGAGAAGTGTGTCCAGTAGAATAGCGCAGAATTAGTAGTAGCATCGTGTACGGTGTGTTGTATATATATATATATATATAGGTATTCTCGCAGAAGGAAAAATAGTTAGTAGAGAATAGTGTTCAGTCCACCATATATCATCATCATCATCATCATCATCATCATCATCATGTGGGTTGAGAATTCACTGGTTCTCGTTGTAACGCGTTCGCAGCGAAATGACGACGGCGACGGCGATCGAGGAGAACACACCGTGCACTTTTCTTGCGCAGAAGCGGGCGCGAGAGATCGGGCACGTACGCACGCAGGCGTGCACGTCGGTCTGTTGGTCTGTCGGTCGGTCGGTCGGTCGTATATATATATATATATATATATGTACGTATATATATATATATGTATATATATATATGTATATATATATATATGTATATGTGTGTATGCTTACGTGCGTGCGGTGCGTGTGCGTGCTTTTGTGCGTTCGTGCGTGCGTGCACGCCTGATGTCAACGCCTGGTGGGTCGCCGTGCCCGACGCCAGTTTTATTTAATCACACTGTGCTCTCTGCCTGACTGCCGGCAGGCCTGTTGCTAGGCGCCCCCCTCCCCATCCTCGGTGCGGGGCCCTCCTCGACGTGCCCCGCCCCTGTCTGCTGCGCCTTGCACGCGCGCGCGCGCGCGCGCCTTACACTCTGCTCTCTCTCTCTCTCTCTCTCTCTCTCTCTCTCTCTCTCTCTCTCTCTCTCTCTATCGCTCGCTCGTGTTATTCGATAAATTGGATTTCTCTCAGTATTATTATGTATTATTGTTCTTACATATAAGTAATATGTTATTATTGTAAATATTGATTGATGATTTATCTTGATCTATAATATTTGACTATTTGGGGACATATTCTAACGTTTATACATATATGATGATAAAATGATAGATATAATTGTATTGTATGCTCGGGTCTGTTATTTGATAGAGAACAAGAATATCACTAAGAATTGGTCTATATACAAATGAAAGTAATGTTAATATTGTCAAACTCTTAATCCTTTTGATCGAACTTCCGTCGTATATATTAGCTGCTTTCATAAATTGTGGTCTTCCATTCTGTGGTTAACGTTTCAGCCCCTGTATCTCAATCTCGGCGCACTTTCATGGCTTTCTCTTCTATTCTCTCTCTCTCTCTCTCTCTCTCTCTCTCTCTCTATATATATATATATATATATATATATATATGTGTATATGTGTGTGTATCTCTTTCTCTCTTTTTCTTTCTCTTCATCTGCATTCGCCATCGATGGTTCGTGGTTTCGCGGCTCGTTTATAACATATATACAAAGAGGAAGAGAAGAAGAGTATTATTATATGTTAATGATGAACGAAAAATAGTATTTAGATTAATGATTTTCTGATTTGTTCGATGCGTCGACCACAAACAATTTCGAATGAATCCAGTTATTCTATACTTTGTCGTAGTTAGGGATTCGTCCATTTTCTAATTGTCAGATGATTCGACATATGCAAATTGGAATGATCCAAAAGTTCTCCTACTTTTTGTAGCTTAACAATTCAAAGGAAAAAAGGAGGAAAGGAAAAGTTTTAATTGATTTTTAAACTTTTCATTCTTAAACTCTTTTATACAAATGATACTCAATTGATGATCGAGCAATTTATCATTCAATGATCAATTCGAATAGAGCCATCCTGTAGAATTTTCCTAGTAATCGTTAAAAGACATTTTCCCTTTATCTCTCTCCCTCTCTCTCTCTCTCTCTCTCTCTCTCTCTCTCTCTCTCTCTTATTTCACGAAGCGTTCTATTTCATATTGATCCGAGAAGTTAAAGAGATTCTTTTTATTAATCTCATTAACGTAAAACGCGAATCGAACGAGAAAGGAAATCGTCAATCAAGAACGAGTATAAGTATACTCGATAGAACTAACAACCAAAACGACACGGTGTCTTCTCGATCCTCTTTCACAAGCGTAACTCACGAAGCCAAGCCCACAGCAATCCTCGTCGTCGTCGTCGTCGTCGTTGTCGTCGTCGTCGCAGTAGTATATCGCTTCAAATAGAACGACCTTATCAAGAATATCCAATTACCGAGTGAATCTTAACGATCCGTTTGATTTCGCAAAAGACCGAGAGTAGTACCTTCTCCTTTCTCTTTCTTTCTTTCTCTTTGATTCTCTTTCTTTTTTATCGGATTATATTCAACTAAATTAGAGGTTAGATAGAGGATATATATATATATATATATACTGACTGAGAGAGAGTGAGAGAGAGAGAGAGAGAGAATGCACGATTCGCTATCTTTCATTCGTGAAAATACCAGCAGCTCTTTTCTCTTTTTTCAGCAGCTTTTTTTTTCAAATTTAGTGAATCCTTCGAAGGAAAAAAATGTAAAGGAAGAATAGATAGGATCACCGAGATAATCCATTTCTATTTTTGATATTACCTACACATATTTCTTTATAATTTTTTATTACACTTGTTCTTTTTTTATTTTTACTTTTTTTTTCCTGTTATCTTAATCACTGTCTTATATTTTGAAAGCCTTTTGCTTTTTATCAGTCTTACGAAACAATCATATATATATATATATGTATATCATCATCATTATATTTATATATATATATATATATATATATTTATTAAATAAAATGTCTGACTAACATATTCTTTCAAGAGAAAATAAAGGAGAGACAATTTTTGGATTACTTTATTACGGCGTACGATAATGAATTATAAATTGACGTGTCGCCGTATAGAAATAATATCAATCCTCTTTTTTCGTTTTTTATTTCTCAAATTTTTACTTCACAAATGCATTACATATGAGTATTTATGTCGATCGAAAAAATCGTCGAAGCGAGCCAGAAGAAAAAATAAAAAAAGAAATAAATAAATAAAAACCAAAGAATATATTATATTTGCAAATAACTAACGTGAAGAGAGCCGCGCGGCGTTTCGCACATCTCTTCTCCCTCTCTCTCTCTCTCTCTCTGCCATTTTTAACGTTTCTGGTTTCACGTTCCTCTGTTTCAAGGAATTTATGCAGTCTTCCAAGAAGACGCGCGGTATGTGAAGATTTGGACTAAGCGAATGAGAAATAAATGGTGATATATATCTCTTTCTCTCTTTCTCAGTATATTCGAAGGTGGAAGGAAAAAGAAAAGGAAAGAAAAAGAGAGAAAGAAAAAAAAGGGAAGAAGACGAATAAAAAGAAGAAAGATAGAAAAAGAGACAGAGAAAGGGAATTCGTAGCTCTCCTTTCCTCGAAAGCTAGTTTGGCGCAGACGTCCTTGAAATTCGTGAGATCGGAGAACAATCGTCCATGGGTACCCGTCCTTGGTTCAGTGGCGCCGGCTGGTCCCCACTATCCCTCCCTTCTTCGCTATCACTACCACTTCCACCACCACCATCACCACCATTACTACCACCACCACCACCACCGCCATCACCATTGCCACCACCATCATCACCACCACTACCACCACCACTACTACTACCACCATCACCATCAGCATCAGCTTCGACGGCGCACACAAGCAAACGTTCCTTCGCTCCGAGAAGACTCCAGCGTCTATCCTCGAGTTTCATTTCGTTTACGACTTTCCGTGTTGCTGTTGCAAAGCTACTACTACTATTGCCACTACTGCTACCACTACCATTACTACCACACTACCGTTGAACCTTCTCGAGGATCGTTCAAGGACGATTCTGTTCGACTCACCCGCGTCGTTGCTGGGTTAACACGCGAAAGAGAGAGAGAGAGAGAGAGAGAGAGAGAGAGAGAGAGAGAGAGAGAGGGAGAGAGGGAGGGAGGAAAAGATAAAAATATAAAATTAAAAAGGAGGATCAGCAACGCGTTAACGAAAAAAAGTTTCAAGATCGGATTCAACGTTCGAATTCATGTCGCGAGTCCATATCTCTTTATGGTGAATCATCGATTGGTTTCTTTAGGGATTTTTTTTTTAAATGAAGTTAGAGAGAGAAAGGAAAAGAGCTCGTGATTGTGGTGAATTTTTATTGTTGTTTTCTTCCTTTTTTATTACTGGCTATTATCAGATATTTTTTATTCTCAGTAGTCAGTATGAAACATTTTGTACGAATGTTTTATTGAAGAAGTGAGAGAAGTGATACGAGATCTAACCTAACTTTCTTCATCGATGCCACTTGTTTCTTATTGGACGACTACGATGACTACAATGGCGACAATGATCCTGATGATTATAATGATGATTATAATAATGATAATGATGATGATGATGATGATGATGATGATGGTGATGATGATGTTATGTGGCTGCTGGTGTTCTTCGATTATGTTTGGAAATGACATTTTGGTAAGTAGATCATATCTACTTTTGTGTATCGTTAATACATTATTATTGCAATTGTGTCTCAGGTGAAACTCAGATTATTATTATTATTATTTTTATTATTATTATTATTATTATTATTATTATTATTATTATTATTATTATTATTATTATCATTATTATTATTATTATTATTATTATTATTATTGTTTTTATTATCATCATTATCATTGACAATTATTTTATTTTATTTTTTGTAACGTCAGTATCTTTCCAATAATTGCGTGAGATCGATCGTAGGTTGATTCGAACTTTGGAAAGTATCTTTGAAATTGCTATTTCTGTACGGTGACAACGACCGATTAGTTTTCAACGAATCATAGTTAGTCTATGTATAACTACTGCAATGACATCGTCGTCACTTCGTTAATACGTGAGTGTGCCCACGAGAAAATATACAGTCACTAGTTTCTCTAACTTTATCTCACGATCCATGAATTGTCATAAACATCTATCATCTTTCAGATGATTCATTTCTTTATCGAGACTTATAAATGAATACAATAAAGTTTAAATTTGTAATATAGACTTTCAAGATAGGATCAGAATAATTTCGTTTCTTTTTCTTTTAGACTCTAAATAGAATCGATCATTTCAAATTATCAATGTTGATGTGAAAAAATAAATTCAACAATTTCGATCAAATTGTTTAAGTGAAAATTTAAGAGGTTTTGTACGTAGAGTGACGAAACGATAGATAGAAATGGAATGGATCGTGGTTAACAGTTCAAACTATTAATAGAATTTTCTCTCGAAAGATTCTCCTTTTTCTTCTTCCTTTTTTCTTTCTTTCCTTTTTTTTTTTGTTTATTTCTTTTCGTTTCGCATTCTTGTGAAAATACGTCTGCGGTTAGGAGATCAGGATGTATGCGAATTCTTGAAACGGTACGGTCAGGTATGCAATATATTCTTGTCGTCGTGCAGGCTTCGTCGTGTTATTCCAGGATTACGAGCTAACGCAGATAGAGTTTACTTCTTTGTTATTTACTCAGCACCTTTCGAAGGTGCGGCCCAGTAGTCGATTGGCAGCGACATTGGAATCTAACTATCTACAGTGGGATGATATGTTCGATCGCAGTAAAAAAGGATTTATTCTCAATAAACAAATTTAATTAGTCAAATAGCTATCTAATATTTTAGATTATTCATCGTACAGTCGTTTTTCTTCCTTTCTTTCTTTTTTTTCTCTTTCTCTCTCTCTCTCTCTCTCTCTCTTGTGTTCTTTTTGATAAGAAAAGCGATTCTATCGAATCAATAATCGTCGCAAGATTCGTCATGCAATTTATCCGACCGTCTCTCGAACCCCTTTTCGGCTCGATCCAAGCCGGATATAAACGTCATTCTTGATAGGGTTCGTGATTGGAATTAATTTAAGAATAAGCAGTGAACAGAAGTACGGATGAAAAGTAATACGAGGAGATGGAGAGAGTATTCAAAGTATAGTAGAGGTCTCTCTTTAAAGCTTTCGATAGAGTAGAACGAGAGGCAGCTGTGTCCCAGTAGTTGGTACATATACCAATCACAGTGTTCCCAAAGGAAAGAGAGAGAGAGAGAGAGAGAGAAAGAGAAATGAAAGCACTCACTTCTATATTTGTTAGTATTCTATACGCAGATTTTCGTATTCGTTGGACTCTTCCCACACTTACCTTGTTTCCGTTTTGCAGAAACGTCAGCTAACATCCTGCCGAATCCGCACTGCGACGACCTAAAAATAAGAAAGCCAAGACACAGAATTCTATCCTTAAGTTTTATTGGTAAATCGTTTGATACACCCTTGTCAGAGTACTTTACTTAACTTTTTCTTTATCTTCTTCTTCTTCTTCTTCTTCTTACTATAATAATATAATAATAGACTTAGAAAAGTTTATTCTTCGACAGAGTCAATGATCCTTTCTCGACGTCATGTTTCTTACTTCTATCAGTTTCATCGATATATATTATATATGACTTACAAAAAAAAAAAAAAAAGAAAAAAGAACTAACAATTGTTTGATCGGCCATTTTCTTTTTTATTGCTTATTCAACATTCATATTATTGTTTATTTTACTATCTACATATAATTAGCGTTGTATGAACTATTGTTCAATATGGATACTCGACGCCATGCTTTTTATTTCTATTTTTATCATCTTATATAAACTATAGAAAGAATGGAGAGTTCTCAATGGTCAGCCATTATCATTGTTCACTTCAAACTTATAACGTTGCGTATTATTATTATTATAATTATTATTATTATTATTATTATTATTATTATTATTATTATTATTATTATTATTATTCTCTTATCTAAAAATAACTATCGATAATCGAAGCTATAGTTTATTATATTATCCTATAACGTGTAAACAATAACAAAGAAAATATTTTTATCTCCTCGTCTCATTTTTTTTTTATTTGCTTCTCGAATTTTCAATTTTCTTCTTCTTTTTTCGTCGATTAAAAACGAGTATCTAAAAAAAAAAGTCCTCATCGGATTCTATTCGTAATTTTAATACTCACACGTTCTCCGATTATAAAAACACATACACACGCGAGCAAATCGGTATTCAAAAGTTCCCTAGATGATTTTAGAAACGAATTAATCTTGTATTTTAGTTTAACTTGTAGTTTTATAATATGAAAGAACAATAATTAGACTAAAAATAGTTTTGAAAAAGAGTAATTCATTTTTAAAATCGTTTTAGAAACTTTTGACCTACCCTATACATGTGTGTATATATATATATATATATATATACACACATAACTTGTATCTCTTTGTCTTTGGCTGTTAATCATTAATTCGTCGATAAAATTCTCTCTCTCTCTCTCTCTCTCTTTTTCTCTCTCTCTCTCTCTCTCTCTCTCTCTCTCTCTTTCTATATTTCTAACGGTGAGTCATCGAGGAGACAGACTTCTTTAAAAGTTTCATACGATTCTCTTCGTTCGTAGGTGTGTATATGTGTAGGTATATATCTATATAATTTTTGTGTGTAGGTGTTGGCAACATTTTTCCTAGTAATCTTGACTCACCTGTCGGACTTGCAACGGAAGTTTCTTAACGTTGCTTCTCTCTCTCTTTCTCTCTGTCTCTCTCTCTCTCTCTCTCTCTCTCCTATATACGTACATACATACATATATACATATATATATATATATATATATATATATATATATATATATGTATACAGAGATATACTGTAGTCACTTTACGTATCCTCAACTTCCTGTTCAACGTAGAATACAGAAATTACCTTGTTGAGGCCCATTCAAGATGGAGGTGCCTGTATTTGTGGCCATTTGCAAAATTTGTCTTTTTCTTTTTATTAAATGTTTTTTTTTCCTTATTTTATTTTATTTTATTTTATTATTTTTGTTTTAATAAATAACTTGAACTCCATACTGATTAAATATATTTGAATTTATCGCGACCTATTAGATATCCTTGTCGATTATTATCGATGATTATTTATTAAATAAAATATCTTTTCTTTCTATATTCAAAGAAATTAATTGATAATAAATTAATTCTTACAAAATATTGAAATAAGAATTTATTTATTTATTAGTTTCGTTAGTTCTGTGAATTTCAGGATTTGATGGGGATTGAGTTAGAGATTCAAGTTTAGGATCTACCTAACGCATAGAGGACGATCAAGATCCTTTGTTGAAAATTAACATCTGTGATATCTTCTCATTAACAATAAGTCATTTGCAAGACGCGCTACTCTGGTACTTCAGGCTGTGCCAGTTCTTTGATCAGTCAGGTACCTGAAGTAGCGCGCGTTGCGGAGGACGAGTAACATCAACCTGACGGAAAGAATATATTTCTTTCGAAGGAATCGATAAACTATAAGATAATAATGATGAGGTGAAGGAAATGCTACTGAGTTAGGCTGCATGTTAATTGTACTTCATCAGGTGCTCCGGTGAATTTGATACCCGGCACCTGTTGGAGCGCAATTCATATGAACGTGCCTTGTTAATCATTTTTTTTACATTTTGGATTACATCGTTGGAGGCTGACCTAATATCGATTAATAATCGATAACCCATAATTACTGATGAGATATACGTATATACATCAGTTTTTTTAACGTATACTTCTTTCTCTTTCTCTCTTTTTATATCTAATTAACAGTCTTAAGATTGGTTTGGTGTAACTCTCCATGTTGTGCGATCTTCGGCCAATCTTTTAATCTTTGCAAAAGATTGGTGTCATTTTCAAACAATGGACTCCCTTACACTGAAATGTTTTACAAGAGCATTATTATAATATTTATAATTGTTGATATTTTTCATCAACGATATCAAAGGGATTTTTAATACTTTGATTTAACCTTGGCTATTACCCTTTTGTCAATTATTTTATTCATCCGCATTTAAATAAGAGAAATTAATTTAAAAGTGTTTTAGAATTAGTTCATTGCAGACATCAATTTCCCAATGGATTTATGTTATTTCATGATATAATTATAAATTGCATATAAATGTATAAAGAGTAAATGCAAATAATATATATGTATAAAGTTATTTGTGATTCGAGCTATTTTCCGCTATGTGCCACTGCAATCGAGATTGCAACGGAACACGAGGAAGGGTTGTTAATAGTAATAGTAGTAGTAGATGCAATGTGTCGTTGAATTAATGGGGATAACTATGTTAGGGAGGGTCGCGTGTCATCGGAGTAAACGTGAAAGAGAAAGAGAAGAGAAGAAAGAAAGAGAAAGGGAGAGAAAGGGAGAGAAAGAGATAGTAAGGGAGAAAAAGAGAGAAGCTCGCATAATGCAATTATTCGGCTCTTTGCATCGTATCGATGGAAGCCTCGACGTAAAGTGTCTGAGCTGGTACTACTAGGGATGATAAATTATGTCATTGATTATTTCACTCATCAAATTTTTTATATATAATTTCTTTTTTCTTTTTATATTATAATATATTATATACTATGTGTATACCAATATAGAATTCATATTGTCTCGACGTAGAAAAATATTTTAAGTCCAATACACTTGACTTTTTTTTCATTTCTAATATACTCATTTCGTGCGTTTTAATTCAGCTCATTTGATGTTTTCCATTTATAATTGTTTTACTCAATTATTTTTAATTTCTGTCCATTCATTGACTTTGAACTTTTCCATCCCTTCCCCCTTCCCTCATATACATAACACCAGTAACAGTAATTTTTGTAGTGCATATATTTTGTAATGCATTATATACAATATTTTTTTTTTAATAAAATTTATATATATGTATGTATTTATAATGCTGATAGTATGATTATGTATATTAAAAAAATGTGTTAATAATAAATGACGATAAAAAAAGGAAAGAACATATTTTTAATTTTAACGAAGCACTTCTCTTCTTTTCAACATGACCATCTGAAATGAGTAATAAGGGAAAGTGGAGCAAAAGTTTCTACAGTCTCCCTCTCTCTTTCTTTCTCTCTTACGTCATCCATCCTCTTGAAATTTATCTCGTACGATTACCTTTGGATCTCTACATTCGCCAGACACCAGAACATCTTTGCAAATTTGATGCTTTAATATTCATTCATTTATCACAAATATTTGAATTTATAATTATTTTAAGATTTCATCTGAATCATTACATTATAATTAAAATCTCAATTTTATATATATATATATATAACTCTCTTAATATATTATTATTATATATTTAAATATTTCAAGAGAGAGAGAGAGAGAGAGAGAGAGAGAGAGAGAGAGAGAGAGAAATAAAGAGTATTACATTTCCTGTTATAATTATAAAGATTTTATTCTTATCATTCTTATCATTAGTATCATAATTGAGAAATATTAATTTTATATTACAATTCTTTTATAATAATTATTAATATATATTTAAATGTTTTAAGAACGAGCTATCTTCAACGACATGGAACATCAGAGTGAATTTTCGACTACACGGAACATCAGAGTGAATTTTCAACGGCATGATGTACATCATAGCAACCGAAACAAATGAAGAATGTTTTCAACGACTTGAAGATATGCTACATGTTATTCAATTACCAGTCGATCAAATTGGAGAGAGATGTGACCAGGTTGTGCCAGCATTTCAACTCGAAAATTATTTTCGCTTTTGATAAAGTAATCATTATAGAAAAAACAGATCGATCTTTTAATCGAGAACATGTTCTTGATACGAAAAGCGTTTTGTGCATTTGTTAAGTTCTGTTTGGATAATCTGTTCTGTAGAATAGAGTAGAGAAATAACAATTGTAATTATACCAATTCAGAATAAATATTTTTTATATATTATTTAATAGGTCTTATAAATTATAGGATATTTACTTGTTATTATATACTGTCATTATATCCTTTGTGCGGTATCATATATAATACTACATATAAAAGGAAAAAACATTTAATATTTGGTCTTTTAATTTGAAGTATCATCATTTAAATTTAAATAAATTAGATAGAATACGTCCGATATTTTTACTGTAAAAGCTTGTTTAACCAATAGATAATTTATCGACAGATAGTAATGTATGAAAGCTTATTATTTATAATCATGTACAATTATATATAATTACAATATATGTAACATTACGTATTACATGACGTTTTTAACATAATGTAAATATTGTAACTATGAAAAAAACAATAAAGAATCTTTTGTTATACTCTAACACGCAGATGTTAATATTTTACCTTTTCATACATCCTATTATCCTAATACCAACCAAAATTTTCCAAAATAATAGTTTATAAAGAGGAATTTATAAAAATTGAATTATTTGACAAACGTACATAAAAAACGGAGGAGACACAAGTCAAATCGTACATTTTTATATTAAATTCATCGAATACCAAGTTTGATTATCGGCGAATAACTTCTAATAAGTGCATAAACAGATTTTGATAAATAACTTCTAATAAGTGCATAAACAGAATTTGATAAAACACATTTTGTGATTTCTTCACGCATCATGTGATCCTAATACAAATTTAGATTAGCACGAAAAATCTATGCTTCGTTCATAAATGGAAAATCAGAACAGGAGAGCATAACTTACGCGAAAACGTGCCACCTCTTTGCGCGTCATGTGTTTCCTGTTACAAATCCAATTTTGCGGGAAAAATTTCTACGATCCCTGTAATTTGAATTTTTGAACAGGAGAATATAACTTACCAGGAGGTGGCACGCGAGAACGTGCTACCTCCTCGCAAGTCATATGATCCTGTTACAAATCCAGTTTTACGGGAAAAAATTTTGCGATCATTGCAATATGAATTTTTGAACAGGAGAATATAACTTACGCAAGTCTTATGATCCTGTTACAAATCCAGTTTTACGGGAAAAATTTTTGCAATTCCTGCAATATGAATTTTTGAACAGGAGAATATAACTTACCAGGAGGTGGCACGCGAGAACGTGCTACCTCCTCGCAAGTCATATGATCCTGTTACAAATCTAGTTTTACGGGAAAAATTTTTGCGATCATTGCAATATGAATTTTTGAACAGGAGAATATGGCTTACCAGGAGGTGGCACGTTCTCGCGTGCCACCTCTTTGCGCGTCATGTGATCCTGTTACTAATCCAATTTTGCGGGAAAAATTTTCGCGCTCCCTGTAATTTGAATTTTTGAACAGGAGAACATTACTTACCTGTACGTGGAATCATGCCACCTCTTCACACATCATGTGATCCTAATACAAATTCAGATTTGCAAGAAAATTTTTATTTCTTCCATAATTTGAAATTTCGAATCGGAAAACGTAGGATACTGGGAAGGGGACGATATTGAAAGTATAAATAAAAGAAAGAAGTATACAGATTTGAATTGTAAAAACACAAATTTTTATTTTACTGATTTTTCGATTTTACACTAATATTACATTTTTACAGTCTTATTATTAATTTACAGGTGTAGCTAAATGTAGAAACATTGTACATAGTTATTATTACAATTATTAATGTTGATATAATACATTTCTTAAGATGTTCCTATAGTGTTCTATCTTCCCCATAAAAACTGCCGACTTTCGAATATTGGATAGTTGTATGGTGGTGATATCTATAAAATAGAAATATTTAAATATTAATTTTTATATGTGTTCTTTTAAACGCGTTAGTTAAACACTAATGTTAACAAGAAATATTTTTTTGCAGAATGGAAAGAATAAGTGATTTTTTTAAAGAAATTATTGAACAAATGTATCTTTGTCCTACATTGATTGAATTTGTCTAATTTTTCTTAAAAAGTTATATAAAAAAGTTATATAGTAGCGAGTAAAAAACTAAAAGGGACCTCTATTTTTTGTTGAAAAAATAGTATTTCTGCAATTTTTATTTTTTGAATTTGTCCACTATGAATCATTGATGATTTTTTATTTGAAGCATTTTTTTGTCGAACCATCGAAAGTGGTTGAAAAATCGTGGCAACTGTTGAATATCCAATATATATATATACTGATGATTATATAATATTATATAACCTTTTTATAATAATTATCAGAAAATATTTGAGTCATTTGTAAATTTAATGAATGATAGAATAGTTATATGAGCAAAAAAAATACGTATATCCTATAAAGATAACATTTAATAATAAAAATTAATTAACTTATTATATGGAGATTTGTTAATATATGTATATACAGATATATAATTATTCTTCATACAAATCTCACATATCTATTTATTATATATTACCTTCTATTCGTTAATTAATGTTTCATTCAATTAATTTCAAATATCAATTGTTCCTCCAGTCGAGACAAAGAAAAGAAAAATAGCAAAATAATAAATAGTTCGGTAGATCGATCGCCTTTGACCTTGCAATATACTTTCCAAGCTATTTTTATGTTTCTTTAACGATAGGCTGCTTCCTTCCTTCCTTCGTGTATCCGTCGCTCTATATTTCTTTTTGTTTTTTTTTTTTTTTTTTTTTTTTCTTTATTTTCTCTCTCACCAACAAACAGGAGGCACTTTGCCGAACTGATCGATAATATACATAATACACATATACGCGTATTGTATGTGTCTATATTATATACAGCGTGTTCATTTGAAAACTTTCAATATAAATATGTATCGTGAAAACGATGCATTTTTGGGAAAAAATATTAAATAAAAAAAGTTTCTTCTTTTTTCCCCTTCGAAATAAGAATATGCGAAAAAATGAAGAACTATAAATTTTCATTTGAAATAAAAGAGTTGATCTACTAATAATCTTAAAAAAATCTAAGTATTAACAAATAAATGGGATACTTGTATTGCCTCGTTGAAACCGTGAAACTTTTCTATTAAACATTATTCCCAAAGATGCGCTGTTTCCGAGATATTTAGATTGGAAGTTTCCGAATGAACATGCTCAACATCATTAACTCTCTTTAATCTACGTAAACGAATATATATGTACTCTTATATATATATATATATATATACACACATATATATCTTTCATGCATAGAATTTATATATGAAATTCGATCAGAATTCCTTTCAAAAATTTTTCATATAATTTTATCAACTATTTATCTTTTAACCTAAATTTACTTTAATATGATTTCTAAATAAGAGATTTCGAAATAATTAATTTTTTATAAATGAAGAAAACGTAATAATGATTTTATTAAAAAAACAATTTCTTTCATTTCTATGTGATAATAATAAATGAAGTCATGGAGATTCCTACGTTTTTTTAACTCAGAGTATATACATTCATACACACATACATACATACATACATACATATATACATAAATACTTGTATGGTTGAGACAGACTCACCATATATATGAGCTGACCTTCCATCCCTTTTCTATCCCCGACCTACAAGGTCAAGATACGAGGGGTCTAAACTATAGTGGTAACATCTATGAAGAGAAAGAGAGAAGGAAGAAGAAACTAATTTATATATATATATATTTAGACTTAAATATATTATTTATTTCTAATAGCAATAATAATATATTATTAAATTACACAATATTCTGTTTTTTTTTCTATATATATATATTGTAGCATTAATAATTTATTATTATAGTATTAATAATATATTACTATTATTAATTCATAAAAAATATATTTAAGTTCCAATAAAGCACGAAAGATCGAAAATCAAGATTGAAAAATATTTATCTTATCTAGGAAGGGAAAAACTAATCGTGGTCTCTGTATTCGTTTATTTCGTAAAATAAAAAGTAAAAAATAAAGAATAAAAAAGTAGAAAAAATGTAATAATAATAATAATAATAAGAAGAAGAAGAAGAAGAAGAAGAAAAAATAAATAAATAAAAGAAGAAGAAGAAGCAACTACAACAACTGCCATACATATACCAACTTCTCATCTAATCTTTTTCTCAGTCCACTTTTGCACGTTCCTCATTGGTCTCTTCAGAGACTTCGACGTGGAACGAACGAGTTCCAGGAAGGATTCTATGGCCCTTACCAATCGTTACAGGCGTGAAATCTGCTTTACGGCTTCTCTGCAATGACGATGACGAAGAAGAAAAAGAAGAATAAGAGGAAAAAGAAAAAAATTTACAAGAGAAATCGACCAACCCAACGCCTCCTTGTTGAACACTCCAAAAGGAGTGCCAAAGGATTGGATCTTGCCATACTTCTCTCTCTTTCTCTCTCGCATACATACACGTATAACTGCATCTCTCTCACATTTATATATACACACATAAATATTGGCATCATTCTCTCTCTCTCTCTCTCTCTCTCTCTCTCTCTCTCTCTCTTTCTCCCTCTTTCTCTCTCCCTCTCATATACATATATACTCATATGAACGTTAATATCATTCCCTTTCTCTCTCCCTGACATGTTATACACTTATGAATGATAGTATCATTCTTTCCCTCCCTCTCTCTCTCTCTCTCACTCTCTTTCTCTTACATGTATACACATATGAATGTTAATATCATTTTTTCTCTTTCTAACATATTATACATATATCAATGTTAGAATGTCATTCTTTCTCTCTCTTAGATATTATATATATATATATGAATGTTGGTATGATTCACACACATACACACATACACACATACACACATACACACATATACACATACATACATACAGTCAGACAGACAGACAGAGAGACATGGAAACGTTGACATCATTCTTTCTTTTTCTTTCTCTTTCTTACCGTCTCTCATTTTTTTTCTTTTCTTTTAAGTCTCATCATACATACGATGGGGTTTCTCACATACTACTTTACAAGAGAGAAGAGTCCAACCTTTCTCCTTTCCCTTCTTTTCTTCATCTCTTTCCGATCTTCCTCTTTGCCCTCTTAGTTCGAAGCTGAGGGAGTCTTGGGAGGCTGGAAGGGATTCCATTTTAGGCACTCCGGATCGATCTCCTTGTAGACGAGACCACGTCTCTTCACCCTCTCCTTATAGTCGTCTATCACATCCTGAAATTATTTTTTCACTATTTCTACCACATCTATCTGTCTGTCTGTCTGTCTGTCTGTCTTTCTTTTTCTCTCCTTACCCCTCCTTCAATTCCCCTTCCCTCCTTTAATTTATCTAATTAGGAACTTCAATTTGTTGTTTCAATTTGTTGCTTTCTTCGGTATAAGGAATTATTATTATTTATCAGTCGATTTCAATGACGAAATGTTATGATAAACCATTTCGAAAATTTTATCGACGATATCCCAGTTATTATTTTTTTGAATTTTTTATTTGAATTTTTTTATCATGACCAGTTAAAGAATTTCAAAGGTACGATATGCCTAATTATCATTTAAAAAAAATCTTCATTTTAATTTGCCAGTATGGCAAATATTTAATTAACAGTTTTCAAAGACTACATTATTATCGTTATTGTATAATCTTTTATTTTATATTTCTCATCGTAAATAATTAGTCATCAAATTTGGAGCCAATTATATTCTTGTGCGTATTTTTTCATGATTGAATATAAAGATGAAAAAAAAAAAAATAATAAAAAATTAAAAAAATCAATAAAACAAAATAAAATAGATAGAAAGATAAAAACTTACCTGTTTCTTCAATATAATATGCTTGCCCTTCCAATACTTCATCATTCCAAGAGCTTGTAAAGTACTGACGATATCATAAGAGTCAATCGCCATTTCTTTGCTAATGTCTGTTAAGTCAAAAAGATTACAATTGTTTCTACAATAATTTAAAATTCACAACATTAAGAAAAACAAAACGAATAATTAATCTCCCTACCTTTCACTGAAAGTTCCTTGCCACCAAAATTGCAAAGGTACTGTAACAAAACGTCCTTCCAATAACTTCGATAAGATATTAGACCCAAATCCGATAAAGGTTTCTCCGGTGAACCTATCTTCTTCTCAACCCTTGTTAATAGATAACCTAATCGAAAAATTACATTTCATAAATTGTTTCTTTTTTCTTTTCTTTTTTATAACTTATTCTATGCTACCGTAATCTCTTTCTATTCAATTTACGATTTTTGTTGAAATTTATTATCAAAATAATATATCTCTTATTTTATTTTATATATAATTATAGTATATATATATATATATATATATATATATATATATATATAAATCTAGTTTTATGTACGTCAATGTATATATAAATGTAGAGTTATGTACGTCAATTAAAAATTATAGAATATGGTTACGATTTATTTAAAAAAAAAAAGACAAAAAAATGAAGAAGAAAAAAGGATAAATGAGGAAGTTAGCACGGTTGAACGTAGGCGCCTCGCCTAACACAAAACTTGTGCTCTTTCATTTTGAAGAACAGTGTTGTATATAGAAAAGGCTTGTCTCGAGCCAATGAAGCCAACAATAGAAGCCGTTCCGTAAAATCAGGATTCCATAGACACACGCACACAGTTATTCTGGTATAGTAAGTTCTCTGAATGGAAAAGCAAGCATCGCGTGGGATGCATCGCGAAAGAGGGATAATACACCTTCATAAATAATGCTTGACGATCACAGGAAATAGAAAGGCAGTTGAGTTCGTTTTCAACATTATAGGAGTGTCGACGAATACTGACTAGCTGACTCTGATGATATGACTGTTTCGCACATGACATTTTATAGAACCTCCCTATTGCACTTGACCATCATTCACGTCAAATAATTTTTGAAAATGAGAAAACATCAATCTTTTGAATGATTTCAAAAAGTTCAAGGATTTATTCTCTCATCTATGTTTTTCTTTTTTTTTTTTTTTTTTACTTTTAGACCCTTTTCTATGTTAATTTTTATAATATTAAATTTATAATGTCAATTAATTATGTATATATAAATTAATGAATATAAACTTTGCAAATAAATTAATAAGAATTTAATATATATCGCTATACATTTATATACCTGATATATTTTTAATAATATACTACATCATAACATTGGAATAAACGTGCAATCTGTTACAATGGAAATAAAAAATTGTTTAATTAATTAAACGTTATTGACAATTTTGAAAAGGTCATATGTAAAAAAAAAAAATAAATAAATAAAAAATAAGAGAGAGAAAAATTTGACCTATAAAAAAATTCCAAGAGACTTCCCGATTGTGCATTTATACTATAGAAGTTAAGGGTTAAGTGCATCGATGCGAATACATATCTACGATACGTCTGCACTCGACTGCACTTTCCAACGAAATGCATCTCGACTCCTTCGTCTCTTCTTGCTTTTCTCTTTCGAATATTAAGATAATGTTATGTTACTATCGGTTAAATGCACCGAGCTAAATTCTATCTATCTATCAATATATATATATATATATGCATATGCATCATCTCATTTTCAAATTTTCCGCTTTCACATATGTATAATAATAATACTAATTAGTATTATTAAACAAACTGAAAGATAAATAAAAAAATCTATTAGATTTAAAAAAAAAAAAAGAGAAAAAAACATGAAGAAGAAGAATCTATAATTAATCAATGATGTCGATGAAGAAGATCAATCATATTTGGATTATTCCATATTGGAATTGGAAGTAGTCTTTGGATGCTTATATAGTGATCGGCACGCGTAGTGTCAGTGACCGGCGAAGGATGAAATAGCAGAGAGGCCTCAGGATTGCATCCGCATCCGTCCACATCCGTTCGTTGAGAGTCCGTTTTAGACTCTAGACGAGAAATACCAAGAATACCGGGTCGAGGCTTCGACCAAGATGGCGACAACATTATCTTCAGAAAACTAACTATACTTTTCTCATTTTTCTTTGTTTTTTTCTTTCTTTCTTTTTCTTTTTTTTCCTTTTTTTTTTTTTTTTTTTTTTTTTTTTTTTTTTTTTTTTTTTTAATTAATTTTTCATACCTCGTGCGATCAATAATTTCACCACGATCATAGATCGATGAGGTTTTAGAAGTATAATTTATTTCATAAAAATTATTATGAAGAAGAAAAAGAAGAGAAGAAAGATTCGTTTGCCAGCAACGTGGCTGCTGAAGCAAGAAAAGCATGATGAGGTATACTCTTTCTTCTTCGGTTGAACGTTCGTTCCGCATCGCTTGCTTCGAGTATCCGAGTAGATAGAAGAGGTGAAAGAGAAAGAGAGATATGTGGTTATGTTATCGAAATATGTTCATTAATTGTTTTAGTTCGTATTTCTAATGAAATCCTAATTTGATTAGAAATGTTTATCCTATTATTGACAAAATTTTGTTATCATTTTTATTTTTTTCATTATTAGAAATATATTATATTTTTATAATTTTATTATTTTAATATCTTTAATCATTTTACACATTTCTTTTTTTTTTAATTAATCGATTATTGCAGAATGCATATGAAATTATATTTAATTTATACGAACAAGATATCTTTATAGAAGTATATATATATGTACATATACTTTTTTTAACTTTTTATTGCTTTTTTATTAACGGAGAGAGTTTATTCATTTGTTAATTAATTTTTATTCACATCAAATTTGTTATCAAAGTTTTTTTTCCTGATAACCAACAAATGTTTCGATATGTACCGGGTTGCATTACGCGTAACCAAGAGAACCGCGGTGGTTATTTCCTCTCAACAAGATTCACAACGATATCAGTTGGCCTTTCAAGTTCGATCTTGACACGGCCAGCCCATTTTCCGAATTAATCTGGCAAGAGAAATGAGTTTTCTTCATTTTTTCTTTTTTTTTTTGTTAATTTTTCAACTCGTTTTACACAATACCATTATTAATTATTAATTTATTTCATTACTCTAAAAATGGTGAATCGGTATTCTCATTTAGTTTTTGGCTACTCAAAATTAGACCGTTATCGACATGATAACGACACGTGTTCTTTATATTATTTATAAGTAACTACGTAATTATATGTCTAATTGATTAGATAAACAATTTAAAAAATATGAAACTTCTCCAACTTTTAATAATTACAATTCAAATTTCTATCTAATAAAACATATCAAACAGCCTAACTTAATCTAACCCAAACAAAAATTTACAATCAACGTGATACCCAAGTTAGCTGATTATTATCTTATCGGACAATGATAATACTATTTTATTACAATTTCAGTCAATATCTTAATAACGTTTATCTTATAACGGATAGAACATAGTTAAACCATAACGCTGATATTATTATTTGATTTTGTACATTGTGAATGTAATAATGATACCTAAAAAAAAAAAAAAATTGAAATATATTGCGAGGGCGTAATCGAATAGAAAACTATTTATCTCAAAATAAAAACCACCTATCATTGTATAAATGAACTAGATTTTAGAAAAGTTTGAAACGATAAGGAAAAGAGTGAGATCAAGTTCGATAGTTCAGGGACCTAAGGGTATATATCCTGATCGAAATCTTAAACCTTTTCGGACTACTGTCTTTCACCGAAGCGAACGATACTCGAGTACTCTATAAGAAGGATCGACTTCCAAGAGAAGAAGGAGGAAGAGGAAGAAGAACACTCGTTTATCGAGAAGAGGAGATCATCATTCGACGCAGTTCATATTACGCTTCCTCCTAATCGTAGCTTCGATCCGAAAGATCGTATTGCATCTGGCGGATTTTTGTGGCTATTCGTTAAAAAAGTAAATAAATAAAAAGAAGAAGTATATATATATAAATACACACACACAGTGGATAAGGGAAACATAGGAACCCCTGCGATGAAGTAGGAACAAGCAAAAGAGAAAGACAGGGAGGGGGAGAGAGAGGAAGGCAGGGAGGGAGGGAGGGGGAGAGAGAGAGAGAGAGAGAGAGAGAGAGAGAGAGAGAGAGAGAGAGAGAGAGCAGGACCGGTCCTATTCCGGGATGTCCTGGAGACTGGGAGGTTCAACGACCATACTGAGTACCTCCTCTTCCTCCTTCGTCTTCCTGGTCCGTGCAAACTCCCACAAGCTCAAGAGAGACAAGAGAGAGAGAGAGAGAGAGAGAAAGAGAGGACAATCCTCCCTCCAAACAGCATCACCATCAGAGCCACCTTGTTTCTGGCTTCTCTCCCTCTGATTCCCATTCCAACGATTACTTCGGGAGGGTTGAACGCATTCATTACGCGTCCGTTTAGTTTGCAGACTTTTGGAATCGTTGGATAGTAGGAAGAGAATGAATGATGGAGGTAGAAAATCGAAGTAGTAGTAGTAATAGTAGTAGTAGTAGTAGTAGTAGTAGTAGTAGTAGTAGAAGTAGAAGAAGAAGAAGAAGAAGAAGACTCCTCCTTCTCTTAGTCCTACATGAGAAGAAGGAAAAGAGGGCGTTGGTGGTGGGCCTGGCAACCCTACCTACGGCAACCAACCCTAGAAGAGGGACTAGTGGTGCGAGGTCACGGGAGGTCATACGATTGCGATCCCTACGCAAGTACCGAAGAGAGAAAGAGAGAGAAAGGGAGAGAGAGAAAGGTAGAGTCTGGCTGGGTTGCGTCGAAAGGGTAGGTGGGAAGGGAAACGAGACGGACACTTTGCGTGTCTGGGTTCTCTATCTCTCTTACTCTAGTAAACGCGTAGTACACCCTCAGTGGTCGCCCTTCTGTGTTTGACTGCGCGTTCGTGCGAATCCGCAAGGCCTGTGCTGATGCTGTATGGTGGGGGTTGGTAGTCGATCGATGCGGCGAGACGCCGGGCGTCGCACTTTCCGCTGCTGCTGCTGCTGCTGCTGCTGCTGCTGCTCCTGCTGCTCCTGCTAACCACTCCAGTATACCACCAAGCCACTACTACTACTATATCTCGATCATATACCACTTCCAATACATCTACGTTGACGTCGACGTTGCCCAGACTTTGCTACGATTTCACCCGGTTCCTACGCCACTCTACTTCCCTCTCTATCTCTCGTTTTCTCTGTACAACACCAATACCAATACTAACACTGTATCTCGACTACACATACACCACTTCTAATACATCAATGTGTTGTCGTCGCTGTAGCCCAGACTATGCTACGATTTTACCGGGTTCCTTTCTCTCTCTCTCTCTCTCTCTCTTACTCTCTCTATCTCCCTCTCTCTCTCACTCTCTCTCTCTCTCTTTCTTTTTCTACATCAGTATATACCAATACCGATATAACTACAGTGTGTATCTCGACCATACACTCCTTCCAATACACCAACGTTAACCCAACGATTTTACCAGGTTCCTACGCCACTCTATCTCTCTTCCTCTCTTCCTCTCTTTCTCTCTTTCTCTCTCTCTTTCTCTCTGCAGCAAACCCTGCGGAACCACCACCCCATCCGCAACTCTAATCCTCCCTTGGTAGTACGTCGACCCACACAAACCTCACCCCCTCCCGTTTATCTCTCCTCCTTTCCCTCATCACTGTTTCTCCCTCCCAACATGCCTCGACGGCATCAATGAAAATGACGTCACGGCAAAAAGCCCACGTTTAATTATCTACGCTACGATTCGCTGAAGAGAGAAAGAGAAAGAGAGAGCGAGAGAGAGAGAAAGAGAGAGAGAAGGAAAGAGGGAGTAGGCGGTGGGAGGAATTGAAGGGGGTCTTTAGAAACTGTTCGTTACTGCGACAAACAACTACGACCAATGGACACTAGGATCATCATTGACGAGGATTCACAATGGAATTTCACAGAGATAGAGAATTTCTTTTGTGTCCTAAAAGATCCCTTTTATCTTTCCTTTTTTTTTTCTTGTCTGTTTTTCTTTTTTATTTTCAAGTAGCAAGAATTCACGAATTATTGTATTCCCTAAGGTCTCCACCAGAGACACAACACCCAATTTTCTTTCTTATTATCGAATCTTACTTCCTGGGATTTGGCCAATTGATTTCTTATCTCTCTCTCTTTTTCTCTCTTAAGATGTCTTTAACAGATCAAAGAAGTATATTACCGAGAGAAATCTATTACAAAGAAACAAAGACTTTGATTTGAACGACTTATATATCTATTTCTGGTATTTTAGCTTAAAGGATGTTGCTTTTTTTGGAGTTGAGATTTTATATATATGTTAAATTATATTATTACTATTATAAAAGACTGTACTTACTAAAGTCGATGAGAAGTCTACCATAGCCTTGTCTCTGATATGGTGGTAACGTCAGGATACAGGAAACGTTGTAGTTCAGGAAAGAATTCTTTTCCTGGAATATTAAATAAACAGAAACAATACGAATGTGAACCTTTTAAAAAATTGCATATCAAGAGGAAAAAGAAGTACGAAAAAGTAATGGATTAATATTTGAAGGAGTTGTTGCAAATCAGTCATGTTTTACAAATTTAACACACGTCCTTCAAATATCCTCTCTAATTTGTCCCTGAAGTACGGTAGAGATCTATTTTGGGTATTCCCTTTCTTCGAGATCATTGTACTCTCTCTCTCTCTCTCTCTCTTTCTCTCTCTATCTGTTTCTGCATTAAAATATCAAACGTTCTAACTTGATACGTATAATTAAAATTAAGTAAAATAATAATAATATTATAATAACAACAACAATAATAATAATGAAAAAAATTATCTTCTCTTGTGATAGATCACTCGTACTTTGACAACTTGATAGATCGACGAAGTCGAGACAAAAGTAATATCAAGGCATCTTGACTTATAATATCGAATTTATTCTAATTTAAGTGGTACTCCTCGTCCTCCTTTCTAATTGAAGCCCTTTTGCACGAGAGATACTCCCAAAGAATTTCATTTACAGGATAACCGATCGTTCCTCTACTTCTATATCGGATCTTCTCCACCTCTTCTCCCTCCTTTTCTTCCTTTTATAAATTGTCCTTTTGATTAAAATATCAATTAATTTTTCCAACGAATGAAATAAAAATTCTTTTCAATGTCCGAGCAATCAATAATAAATAAATAATTGGAACATGTATGTATATGTATATACTATTAATATAATATATAAATGGTTATAATACAATTATATTTACTCAAAGAAGTCTCATTTATAGAATACCCTCATTCCGTAACCCCACCTTTTTTTCTTCTTATCCCTGTGACATGATCGCACAATTGCAGTAAAATGCAATTCTGCAATCGGCATTGTGTATCTTTGTCCACTTCAACACAAAGGAAAATCTCTGACGAACGTTCATTTTCACTCGAAAAGAGAGAAGAAGCTTAATCTTTTATCCTGCATTACGAGCAATGCCCTAGAGCTAGCAACGCCCTTCTTTTTTTGTCAATTATTACATTAGATCATTTATACGGGCTAACTATCGAAGATAAAGAAACAGAAAAAAAAAGAGAAAAAATATTATGGAAAACGTAAAGGAGTAGATTTCAATTTCAAAGACAAATAATCGTTAAAAGATAAAAAAGAAAATAAATAAAATCGTTGCAATACTATTCCATATTCTTTTTATATTTCATGTCGAAAAGACAGATTACATCTTTACCAACGATAACGAGATAACCTAAAATCTATTAAAAATCTTAAATCAATTTATTAAGAAAGATTCATAATGTATCTTAAATTCAAAAAAATTTTTTCTGTTGACATGAGAAATAAATCTAGAAAGAAAAAACAATATTAAAAAGAAGTTAATTAATGGATCAGATGACTGAAATTGTATTTGAACCTATCGAAATAATCTAAAATGGTTGATTAAATGTCCTGCTGATTAATCCTTGAGGAGAGAAAATGCTGTATAATGTGCAAAAGTAAGTAGTGTTTTATTTAAGACACCCGGTATTACCGGGCATAGCAGCCAAGCTGTTGCTAACCGCCGAGTGAGGCAACAACGATCCGAAGGACACAACCTGAAGAGACCGCGCGTGCGTGCGAGTAAGCGAGCGAGTTGCTAAAAGGAGACGAAGAGGAAGAAGGAAGAAACGATGCGAAGAGGTCAGAGAGAGGGGGAGTGGGAGAGAGGGGGAGAGAGGGAGGGAGAGGGGAGAGAGAGTGCAGCATAAGGCCCCTCTCGGTTGGTCATTCGAAGAGCCGTTTTGACCGGGACCAAAGGATCGGTTAGCACTCCGCAATCTACTGAAAGCCTAACAGCACTATTCCTTATTAAATGACTATACCAAAGTTTCTTTGATTTCGATTACATTCGTTACTATTCATCATAGTCATTTTATTATTCATAATCATCAAGATTTCTATCAACTATATTCATGAAGTATAGATTATAAATTTTATACTTCATATTATCTTACGTGCTTGATAAAATGAATAAATAGATTGAGAGGTCTATGTAAAGAGGGCGGGGGGGGGGGGGGAAAGGAAATAGATGACGATAAATATTGACGATGAAAAAGGAAGAAAAGGAAAAGATCTAAATTTTCATTGGCTTTCATAGGATTTCAAGTGGAACCGTATGAAGGCTAAATAAGGGGAACCACGTCAGAGTGAAGTTTTAGGAGGGGCAGCAACTTTCTTAGAGTTCCGTGGAGGAGAGTGGCAAACAAAGAGACACGAAGAGGGTAAGAGGTGAACAGAAAAGAGAGAGAGAGAGAGAGAGAGAGAGAGAGAGAGAGAGAGAGAGAGAGAGAGAGAGAGAGAGAGAAAATCTGGGGCCCGCGACGGCCTTGGACCGGTAGTCTTCAGAGACTCAGGGCCGTCTCGCCATCCCTACCACTAACACTTGCGGCAAACGTTTCTCGCGAAAGGAGGCATCACCCGTTTTATCCCCACCTCTGCATTCCCTGATGCATCTCTTTTACTGTGTTCATTTAATACGAAACAATCGGCACGATGTGCCGAAATTGTTATCCTTCCAAGTTGATCGAATATATATATATATATATATATATATATATATATATGTATGTGTGTGTGTGTATATGTAAATATATATACACACTATACACGCTATATTTTTACTATAAACTAATTTATAGTAAAAATTTATTCAGTCTTTTCTTTATTTTGATATGTAAAATTGGAATTTAATAAGATAGACATGAGAAGTATAAATGTAACACATTTTCTTTTTTACGATTGTTCCCACAGGGTATATATAATATAAAATAAAAATCTGTTTTATCGGCGAAGAAACGTGAATATAAAAAGTCATCCCTTAACGATTTTAAACATGACCGTCATTAAAATTAACCAGTGTTGAGAGGCGGTTAGTAAAATATTGTTTGTACGATTGTTTCTAAGATATTGGAGAAGAAGTAAAAAAAGAATAAGAAAGAATGAATAGAGAGTCTCGTAGGAAAGTCTCACGAAGACATCGAGGCGGAGGTCAAAGCTTATTTCATAGATATAGTTCCGTGGAATCGATACGAGCCCTTCTTCGCTCCTTTCATCTCCGAAACGCAGCAAGCTGGCGCATAGAGTAACGATCGTGTAGCTTTCATAGTATTTTAACACTTCATATATCTACGTTGTTTTAAATTAATCTGACGAATTACGGATACATAATCACGATGTTTTTAAAATCAAATATTGATAATTTTAATCGAAGAAAAAGAAATTTATACAAAGAAATTTATTGAAAAGAATATTGAATGATATTAGGAAGACGTAATATTTTTAGAATCAGATCAATTCATAATTCTAATCGGAAGTTAGATTTATAAAAAGAATTTTATCGATAATAATAATAACTCATTTCAATGAAATCTTTAATAAACTTTCATGCTCATACACAGCACAGATTATCACCGATATTACTCTAAATATATCCTCTATAACAGAATGAGAATCTCACATTCTGATGAAACATTAGCCGTTCCAGAGATAATTCGTCATTACGTAAATAAGCTACGATTTCATTATTAATCATCCAACACTTTCGCATCGTTTCTTTCGTATTAATGGACAGCTGGCCATAATAATAATAGTAATAATAATAATAATACAACAATGACGATGACTAGTCGGCCATTACTTTCAGAACTTAAATTTCAATCGGATGTAATATAGAAATACATACATATGTAGGTAGAAAAATATGCGAGAGAATTATTTAATTGCAAGAGAAATTTATCAATTTAACGAGAGAATAAGAAAGCGAGAGAGAGAAAGAGACAACCATAAAGGACAAATTCGAATAATAAACTCGTTTTAACTTTTAAATGATCCTAAAGTATGCTCTACAAAAGTTATTGGAAAGTATTCCAGTATTACGAGATAACACAGACTACATTATTATAATAGCGATAAATTCTCATCGATACGATTTCTCTGCATTTGTAAGAAAGACAAGATGGAGGAAGCGAAAGAAAGAAAGAAAGAAAGAAAGAAAGAAGAAAAAAAGAAAGAAAGAGGGAGGGAAAGGGAGTTGAAGAGAGAGAGAAAAAAGAAAGAAAGAAAGATCGGTCATCGGTCGGGAATGCAGAAAGAAAGCATTCAACGTGACCGCGTACAGGCGTCGATCGTAAAAGGTTTCCAATCGGTCAGTATCCTTTTCTGTGTATCACAGTGCCATAAAGTGGCTGTAAGTGAGCGCACACGTGCGACGATAGGAAGGCATTGGAACGCAGCCTGGCATCCATTGTATATCCCTCTCTCGCTTACTCTTTCCTTCTCAGTGCGTTCATAAACACGTCTCGCACGAGTGAGGTGGAATGAGGAGGAGGAGGAGGAGGAGGAGAAGGAAGGAGGAAGGAGGAGGAGAGCAGAACGAAAGAGAGGGAGGAGCGTTAGCCTCCCTGTGCGTAGGTGAACGAACGTCTACTCGGCTGTAAGAATAAGACGAGCACAATGAAAAACGCAAAAGAGAAAGAGAGAGAGAGAGAGAGAGAGATGATTGGCGAGAGTCTGAACGATCGATTATTTCACTTCATGCGAATAAAATGTCATCCACGGAGAAGAAGGATGCTGTAGCATCTATTGAAAACGACAATACCTTGCATTTTATATATCATCGATTAGAACGAAATTCTATTTGTCTAATTTTTCGATGGACCAATAAGATATTCGTTATTTTTACAATTCTTTTTTCTTTTTCTCTCTCTCTAACGTCCTTCGAATATTAGAAATAAAAAAAAAAAAAAAGGAACGAAAAAAACTAGCGAGGGAGAGAGAGAGAGAGAGAGAGAGAGTGAAAGAAGAAAAGAAAAAAAAAGTTACAAATCGTTATAATCAAGTTTTTAAACTTTTAACTACGACATCTTTCGTAGCAAAAGACAAACTTTTGGCGACGAAGAAACCAATGGAGGATAGTCACGTTGTGAAGG